ATTAAATTGATATGAACTGAAATCAAAATATCTCAATAATAAGACAACATGAATACAACAATATACCAGTCTGCCGGGAGTCCAAGGGGGGACTGCCCCCTGGCAGGGTTCGACCTGGCAATACCGAGCATGTACCTAGTGGTACTGAGCGGTACCGAGCATGTACCTAGCAGTACCGAGCATGTACTAAGCGGTACCGAGCATGTACTGAGAAATACCGATCATGTACTGAGCAATATCGAGCATGTACTGAGCAGTACTGAGCATGTACTGAGCGGTACCGAGCATGTACCTAGTGGTACCTCATTTAATAACCGGACACGCGTGTCCGACACTCATGTCCGATTTTAATTTTAATTTTTTTTAATTGTGACACTCCAATGCCGTGTCGGACACGTGTCCATGCCGTGTCCGACGCGTGTCCGTGTCCGACGCATGTCCGACACTGCATACCCTCTCTAAGTGCCGTGTCGGTGCATCATAGAGTAAAACGAATTTATGATTTTCAACAAATGAAGAGAAATGAAAAGGATAGAACCTGTAAAACCCGAAAAGTAACAATCTTCAACGTCGCATGCATTTCAATGCGTCGCGACTAGATTAAGTAAAAATTTTCAAAGTCGTCGGAATTCGACGCAATAAATTTTAGAAAATAGTAAGCAAAATTCTAAGCGAATCAATATAAAGAACTCATATTGAATTTCGCGTATTTTGGGAGTTAAAATTTGTAGATGTCTCAATATGACGGATTTATTCGTAGATGTCTCAATATGACGGATTTACCCCTCATGGCATTTAAGTAGAAATAACTTAAGTGAGGGCATTTTGGACTTTGGGAAATTGAAATGAACATTCCACTCTAAATAGGGGACTGAAATGTTTCGGTCCCCATTTCTTCCTTGCGGCCCGAACCGAACAAAAGAACCACAGGAAGGAGGCGACGGGGAGAGAAGAACGGCGGCCTTAGGGGTGGTTTTCGGCGGCGGTTTGCGAGGAGGATTGAAGAGAAATCGTAATGAAGGTTAAGGTATGTTATTTGCAAGAGTTTTCTCATCCTTTTATGAAATTTTCTCTAAGGGGGGAATTCCAGGTCCTCAAGTTTTTTTAAAGATAAGGATAGGGAAAGTTTAGGGGATGTTTCTAAACACAAATATGAGATGATTCCTTGAAAAATATGAATTCTAAGATTTAGGGTTTTCTCCGATTTTCATATTCTTTCAAAATAGGTTTGTAGGAAAGTTTCCTAATGATATTATGGAGCTTATTTGTGAAGCTAGTTTTTTTTTTTAAGAAGACATTTTTCATGCTCCAAGATTTAGGGTTTTCCAAAACCACGAAAAACCTTTAAGAGTGTTGGTTCTTATTGAGCTTAGGGAGTTTTTAAAGCAAAGATTATACCTTTAGCACAAAATATTATTTTTCAAAATTTTAAATTAGATAAATCCGAAAATTTATTGTATGTTAACTTAAGTTTAAGTGAAAGAGAGTTTGTATGCTTGAGGTGAGCAAAAGATTTGAAGGAGGTTTCCAAAATGTTAGATTTACGATTAAGCCCCAATTTAAAGGAAATAAAAAATTGTATTTATCTTAAATTGGGAAGAAGGGTTGAGTAGAAAGTTTAAGCAAGGTAAATGGTTGATTTCTTTGTTCATGGATTAGGGTTTTTAGAAGTTTAAGAGAGAACAAATTAATATTTACACCTTATGTATATCTCTTGTATATATTGATCGCGTAAAGGGAAGGGTTCGTAAGGATATTGACGAATTATACCGTGGTGAGGTAGGTAAAATGAAATTCTTTTAAATTTAGAAAGTTTTTTACATGCAAACGTGTAGAAATGATATTTCTCTTTGTGCTCTTTGTAATATAATTATGGCTAGCATGTTTTTATATAGAAGCTCATGATCACATGTTACAAAAGCAAAGTTTTTATGCATTGATAGTAGAAACTGATAAAGCTCATATTTCTTTCTTTACAAGTATTACATATACCTTCTCCTACATGCAACATACACTTGAGCATATCTCTTTTCTCATGTAAGTAGCAAATATGTAATTCCATATGAGAACATACACATAAATGGTATACATAAGCCTCTATTATGAATAAGTAAGGAATATATATGCATGTGCATGTTTGATGCGGAAGTATCAATGGTAAAGGGGTTCTTTTGAGCTAATGGTAAAGGGACTCTTTTGAGTTAAATGGTAAAGGGGTTCTTTTGAACCAAATGATAAAGGAATGACCAACTAATGTGTACCTGATCAGTACAAATGATACTTCTGAGATAGGTGTTAAATATTATGTTATTATGACATTATATCTTTATGTTATATGCATATGAGGCTTCTTTTGAGGCATGAATATTTAAAGAGAAAGAATTGCAAGTTTATGCAAAGAAAGAAAACTTAAAGGTTGGTTTAAATGCATGATTCACTTTAGACAAAATGTTATGACATGTTGAATGTTCATTTATTGAGAAGTAGAAGCATGTTGTAATTCTTTTCTTGTCTCTAAACTTATTTGAATGTCATTTTATCTACTGAGTTGTGACTCGCCCTACTTATGGGACACTTTTCAGGAGAACCTGATAAAAGATAATGGCGGATAGACCACCCTTTACGTACCGTCGTAGAAAAACGACGAGCGACAGGTTCTTTCTTTTTTAGTTTTTGATGTTTTGAGTTAGAATGTGAAATCCAAGAATCATGATTTTTCAAAATTGATTTGGCCATGTTCAAGAGTTTAATCCAGTATTAATTCTATACCATTGGCCACAAAAAAGAGCAATGGATCCGATGGCAGCCACTGAGGCAGAAGGATGAGCAGCCTATGCAGAACTAGGCTAGTGTTCTGCATGCAAACCATTGCCTTGGGATTATCCCTAGAGGACAAATCCATTTTCATGAAATATATATAAGGGTTTCAGGACCCAAAAGAGAGTTAAAATGGCTTTTAAGCTCAAAAGTCATTGCATTAAGGATAAGAACCAAATTAGCAACAATAACAAAAGATAAAGCCCTATTAAAATGACAAGCCAAAAGAAGATTAGTTTAAGAGAAGAGATGCAAAGGGAAAGGCACTTCAACTGCAAGCTCAACGGTCATTCACACCAAAATTATTGGATAGTGCCCTGAAGAGATCAGCGTGAGAGCAGGCCAAACAGACTTAAACAATCAAAAATGAAGATACAATGGAAGTGATAGTTGTGGAGAAGGCTAAAATCTTATTATTGATTGCACAAGAGAACGAAATAGAGCATTTCAATCTAAATTTGTAGCTACAAAAAATCTATGATTAATACCAATGTAAACCCAAGTAGTGGCAAAAATATTATTATTGCTTGACTTCAGAAATTAGGGTTAGATACCATCCAAAGCTACATTGAAGGCCTTATTCCTTTGGGTGCATGTAAAAGGAATCTTTATTTTGGGTTGATAAGCGATGCAATGTTATATTTGACACTAATGAGCAAAACATTGCTGATGTTACTTGTGTGATTCCACAACTACATATAATCCTAAGGAATTTCTACAATGGGATAAAAATGTTACGTATTATAAGGTGCAATGGTGTGTATTTGCAAAACAGGGCAAGACATATACAGCATATAGGTTCATTCCAAGGTGAAGGACTTGAAGACGCACACGATGCACACAGAAAGTGACTAACCACAATAATCACAAGACCCTTATCTGCATCAAATAACACCAAATCCTTCTATGAACTTAAGAGATACGAGCCAAAAAAGAAAAAAGGAGCCATCAGAAGCAAAAGTTGAAGATAGCACCCGCTTAATAACCAAATAAAGAACAAAAGAGGGCAATATCGCCAGCCCAAACAAGAGTAAAAGAGATGAATATCTTGCCATCTAGGCAAGGTTTAGAGATGAAACACCTTTGCAGAGCCAAGCCATCACAAAGTGACATATTAGCCAGCATCAGATCCTCTCCCTAGCATATGTTGGCCAACATCACCTCTGTTGAAACCCCAACCACCCAACTCTCTCTCTCTCTCTCTAATTCTCTCCCTGACTAAGAAATACAAGAGAGATGAGAAATATCCAAAAAAATGCATGAGGGTAGAGAAATATTAGAGCATAAAGGAAGCAAAGAGGTATTCAAGGCAGGAGAAAGAAGAAGACAAGCAATATGAAACATCAAAGAAGAAAGAAAAAGGAAGGGAAGACAATCAACATCAAGTGGTCTAGAATAGATTTGTTAAGGCTCTAACCATCATAGTTTTTAATTCATTCAATTCCTTGGTATATCATCTCCACTCTTTGGTTTTATTTATACGTGCCTTTAGCCTTGACATTAATCCTCCTATTTAATCAACTCAAAACTAATAATGATAATTTAAAATTAGGATTTAATATCATAAAAGGCCCATCTACGCCAATCTACAAGAATCATTGAATTATTAATTTCCTCTACAGTCAATCATGTAATCAAGGTTAACCCCATAACGTTGATCAACTTCTATTAGTTCTTTCTAGTTTGAAAAGATCAATAATTTTAATACATGAAATATATGCACACCCTTTTATGTATCGATTAAAAAAAATCATTTTCAAAGTCATTTTTTTAAATCTTAATTTTTATATCTAAAGTTTAAAATGACAAGAATAATGGCACCAGATTGTTTTCTCCAACAAGGCTATTGATGATGTAATGATGGTTGAAACATTAGACTTTACAATGCATACAAAATGCCTAAAATAACCCACAAACATTTAATACAAACCGAATAAAATCACTTATAGCCATTAAAAATCTGATATGAAAAAAAGAACACCAAAACTCATTGTATAAAACCAAAAACTACAACTGACTTAGAAAAAAAAATATATGAAATGGGATGCTTGAAACATGCTAGTTACTATGTAGGGTTCAATTGCAGTCAAACAAGCTTCCCAAGTCAATCATTCTTCACAATTCATTAACAAAGAATGCTAGGACCTTACAATTCAGTTCAAAACAAGAGTTCTAAAAATTACCTGCAACCTAGCTCTCCTCTCTTCTTTACGTTGCGCATGTGCAACATAAAGAGGCTTGCTACCAACCATTTTCCCATTCATCTCTGAAAGCTATATTAATGGGGGCTGAGTATAAGACAAATGATCAAATTTATTTGCTTAAAATATTGTTGAAAAAAAAACTTACAGCACGAGAAGCTTCTTCAGGTGTTGAGAAGGCAACAAAACCTGACCCCCTGCTTATACCATTAGGATCTCGCATTACCTAATATTAAGAATGCTTAAGAACACTGAAGCCCGAGGATTGACAAGAATAATAATATACTTAATTGAGTTTGTCAACCTTGTAAGAAGTAATTGTACCGAACACTGAAAAAAGTTCTTTTAACTTCTCATCGCCAATGCTATCATCCAAATTTTTCAAGTATAAGTTAGCCCCTTGAAACTTATCTGCAGTCTCCTTCATACTTTGTTCAAATCTCACTTTTAATTCTTGCTCTCTTTCAGCTTTCTTCTGTGCTCTACCAAGAAACCACTCCTTATCATCAAATTTCTTCCCATTAAGCTCTTGAACTGCCAGTGCAGCATCATCCGGATTCTCAAAATTGACAAATCCAAAGCACTTAGATTTACCATCAGCCTCTCTCATCACAACAACACTGGTCATTTTCCCATATTCACCAAAAATTCTTGTTAAATCCTCTTCAGTTGTGGAGTTGGAGAGATTTTTAACAAAGACGTTATTGAACTTCGTCTTAAAAAAAGAATTCTCCCTTTCATGCTTACGAAGGAAAGGTCCAACATAAACTTGCTTATCATTTAAAAGCATACCATTTAATCCTTCTATCGCATTTTGTGCAGCTTCCTCTCGATCAAACTGAACAAAACCATATCCTTTTGACTGTCCAGAAGGATCTGTAGCAACCTTACATGAAAGAATGGTACCAAATGCAGAAAATGTTTCTTGAAGAGCTTTGTTGTCTATTGCCTTATCCAGGTTCTGCAAATGGATCACATAATTATGGATATTTTCAAGAGATAGAAAGTAGCACAACTATAAAAATAGTACAATGGGACTAGGAAAAGCACAACAACAAAGGCTGGAAAACGTACATGCACATACCTTAATAAATATGTTAGCTGTCCCACTTTTGCGAGCACTAGGGTCTCGATTTGAATACATAATTCGAATTGGTTTATTATTAAGAGGTGTAAAATTCAGCACATCCAATGCTCTCATTGCTGCAACCAACAACAGAATCATATTAGAAAAGACTAGTCAGACTCATTGCATGTGGTGGAAGGATATATATATATATATATATATATATATATATATATAAGATAATATAGGCTAGTTTTTAAGGAGCAAAAACTATTAGAAAAGAACATCAAAAAACCAGATAAAACTGTCTGAAGAAAAATTTAACAGAAGAAAAATCAATTCTATCAAATAATTTAAATATAAAAATTATATTAACTTAGTGCCAAAATTTATATATAATGACATAATTGACAACAAACGTTCGTACTTTACAGATTGCCTTCACAAAGCAACACAGTTTTATCTTACTAATCAGGCTTCCAGAAGTCATTCCAGCTTAGATTGGAATATTGCCAAATAGGTATGATTCAATGTTATATAAAGAGGGAATAATATTTGCAATGAGGGAAATAAAAACATCCGACCATCTTGTTATTGCAGTAAAGGAAATAACAATTTCAATGCTCATAAAATGAGGGCTGAAAAAGTCCGCCAGATAAAGAATAGCCCGATCGGAAAACTAAGTTTGGAACAAGTTATCACTTTCAACCTAAAGACTAATTTCATTTATTTTCAAAAGTTCTCACACCTGAAACCAATAAACAAGACAATCAAGGAACAAAACAAGGAGAACAAAAGATTTCCAATCAGATTAAAGAACGATACAACCTAAAGGGGCCTTGTACCTCTCAAATCAAACGTTTACAGCTTGAAGAATGATGTTATTTCAAGCACATAATGAGATATATTTTCATTATTACACTCCTTATAAATAAATTCCAAATGTCACATAATGCTCGGATGTATAATAGTGCTGCAGAATGGTATGACTTCAACCTCACGAAAAGTATTAACAAAATAAAACAACAGATAAATAGGATAGGCATAATTTCCGAATTGGAAAATGTCATGATATGCTAGCCAGTATCACAGGATATAAGAAAATAAAACATGTATTTCCAGAACCACAAGGACTCCAGTACTATAGCTTTTAAATCTGAATAAGCATGAAGATATAAAAGAGAAGATGGATATAGGCATTTGATCACTTCCAATGCTTAATTAAACAGCATAAAGAGAAAAAATAGACCATACATCATATGTTCAAGAAACGTCATCCGACGCAGCATGATACAAACAGAGATGTCCCTAATCATCACATTACTGTGTTAAATGCAGAACTGTATCCAAGGAACAAGGACGCAGCACCCATAAATAACTAAAACAAGTCTTTCTCTGGAAATAGGTGTTTAAGGTAATAAGTTTTCAATACTTAATTAGACTAAAAGTCTTGCAGAGATTAAATGTAGAATAATCCTGTAGAACCATATGCTAGGATTGAGAGAAGACTGACTATATTCTATATGAAATTTAGCTTAAAAAACAAAAGTTAAACAAATTCAATTTGTTTAAAGCAAGTGACACAATTGAAACATTTACGTAAACTTGCATATGGTCAAACACAAAGTGAGACGAGAAGAAATTTAGATAGCAGCAAAATACCTCTTACTAACAAATAATTTCAGAACGAAGTGTTGACAGAAAAAACACAGAAGTCACAGTTAAGAGTATCTAATTTGTTGCATATATATATTGGGTTATAGCAGTATGGACCATTTGGCTGAAATTTCAAAAGAAATGATCAGAAACGAAGCCAAAGGAAAACCTTATATGAGCAAAGATTCTATACAGGTAAAAGTACTCGAATAGTATCATTTATTAAGCATTATTTCTAGGTAAAATATTTTAAATAAAAAGTATTCCAACAAAAAAATAACAGCAGCATAGCAATAATCAGAGGTAATTACCACGATAAGTTATAGATCAATTCAAGATTAATACAGAAATTAGAAAAAAACATGAAAAATGCTCATAATCAAATAGCAGCCTTATTCACATCTATATGACCTATTTAATATATATACTTTTATTTATACCCTATATTACTATGTACTGTACACGTGAAAAAAAAAGTAAATGTTTTTAAAAAAATGGAACTCCCTCCCTGCTTATAGTTTCTAGGACTAATAAATTTCAAAAGAGCACCATCTAGGACTGTTAAAGCATTTTTCTAAGGATGATAAAAATAATCGAAACTCAAAATTTCTTGAAACTCTCTGGAAATTAGAATAAACTTGAAATTTGTTCATGCCAATTTTAAGCTCATCACTTGAACTCGAATTAGATTTTGCGCAGCCTTTGAATATTTGCCCAACTCTTATAGCTCGAGTATAGTCAACACAAATACATACTAAAAATATAGAATAAATATAATATGATGCATGTATAATATATGATATAATAAGAATATAATTTTATAAGGTATTTTCAAATTACCCTTTGTCCTTCATAAAGGTCATTTTTTCTAACAACATTAACATTAAACATTATGTTACTTAAATAACATGACTTATTTTTCCTTAAATTTGAATGTTATTTACTTTTTTTACCAAAATGCATTCATCTATAGTTTTATATTGGTCCCTAGACGAAACCCAAAAAATATGATGAAGATCCATCATCTTACTTTAATATTATATTATAGGACTAGGGTTCTTCACAGGTGATTTGCCCACAAACCAGGACAACTGGCTTTGGAATATCACATTTTTATAGATCTATTGCAGTTCATTTTTTTTAATTTATTTTAGCTCTTTAGTACCATGATATTAGTTTTCATAGACAAAATACTCATAATTTCTTCTCTTATTCTAGGGTTAGGGTTGTACTTTAAAAGAATATAAATTGTGTTATTTAAATGCAAAAGTTGGTTGCCTTGATGTATCCAGACGCATCGTCAAAGACCATTGTTAATTTTCTATTCAATAAGCCTTGTTAGTTCATGTGCCTTCAGCTGACCTATTCTCCCTCCATCGTAATCATAAAGAGTTTCAGCCACTAGAAACAAGAATAGAGAATCTCAGCCACAGGCCTACATTGCCCTCACTATGGTCCTCATTTCCCTTTCTCCTCTGTCTTCGACCAGCGTGGCAGCAATCAATGTTGTTGTCGATATCACAGATGGCTTTTCGCTAAGAAGAGAAGATGCAAACTCAATTGTTGATGATTCTTTAATGGCTGAAAAATGCAATTCATGAGAGAGGAGGTTGGGCATTTGATGGCAATAGATAAGACAAAAGTCAAGCAACACACTCTACGGATGTTGGAGAAGATTGTGAAAGATGGAGGCCGAAGGATGGGGATAATGATAGGCTTTTCGTTGCAAGAGCATTTGTGGGATCATCACACGTGGAGAATTAGTTGAAGAAAATTAGAGATCATTGGAATTAGGAGAGGGGTAATTTAAACTTCAAAATCAAAAGAGAGGAAATATCAAATATTAATTCTATTTATATTAGTTTCACTCAATTAATGGCTCCATTAACAAAAGGATATACTTAAATTGTGAACCAAACATCATGGACCAAAGTGAAGGATTTTAAAAAATACAAACCTATATGAAGGCAGTTCAAATGTGAAGGGCTTGATGGATATTTATCCTTCTGAAAATGATAGAATGTCTCTCTTCACTACTTATGATATATATATATATATATATATATGTGTGTGTGTGTGTGTGTGTGTGTGTGTGTGATTGACCTTTTATCCCACACAAAAATAAAAAATTCAAAATATGAGAGATATATTATGAAATAAGAGTTTTTTTTTTCTCATTTTGTGACAATTATTGTAAATATATAAAAGAAAAATCAAACAAGTTGACAATATATGATGTTCAATAACTTATACAAGAACTACAAAATACAAAGCAATTGATAACCAAAGTCTGTGAATTGAAGTGTATAATATTAGGAATTGAAGAGTACTCTTTTTTCATGCGGTCATTATCCAAATGTGAAGGTGGAAAGAGAGTAGTGCCAACACTCTTGGTTTGGTTATTCACTAATTCCCCTTTCCTTTATGCCATACTCTCTGTTTCTACATTTTCTTTTACTATTACATGGGCTTTCATACTTGATCAGATATATTCCGATCTTCAAAACTTATGGAATTACAAGTTATCCTGGTTTCCAAATGTTGTGCATTTATAATCGCTTAATTTAGAGCTAAAATTTTTGTTTTGAAATATACATATCATGATTTACACATATATGTACATCTTTTACTAGTATATGGTTTTCGTAAGCATCAATGATTTTGTACTAAATAGCTTTCTTTCTAGAGAATCTATGCAAGTTTGAATTTAGATATAGTTTGCATACGATGGAATAGCATAACGATTAGAATAATTGCATGTGCATTTAATTTCATATAGTTTTCAACTCATTATAATAGGCTATAATGAGGAACCAAAGCCTTGGTACATCATATTAATCTAGAAGGATCTCAGCATAACAAATTTTCTGGATTTGTCAGAATTTTCTTTAGTGGAAGTTTAGAACAGCAACAACAACAACATCAAGCCTTTATCCCACTATGTGGGGTCGGCTACATGAATCATTTTTCTCCATTGTGTCTTGTGAGTTAAATTCTCATTTAAATCTAATAAAGAAAGGTCATTTCTAATATTTTCAAACCAAGTCTTTTTAGGTCTACTTCTACCTTTCTTAAAATAAGTCAAATCTAATACATCTAATTTCCTGACCGGGTCATCAAAAGGCTGTCATTTTATGTGACCAAACCATCTAAGGCGACTCTCTCTAATCTTATCTTCCACTGGAGCTACTCCAACCTTTCATGTATATGCTCATTAATTATCCTATCTCTAAGAGTAAAACCACACATCCACCTGAGCATCCTCGTCTTTGCAACACTTAACTTAATATTATGCTTCTCTTTTAATGGACAACATTCTGAACCATAAAGCATTGCGAGTTCTTACCACCATCTTATAGAATTTTTCCTTAAGTTGGAGGGGAACTTTTATATCACACAACAAGCCCGTTGCATTCCTCGACTTCAAACATCCAACTCGAATTTTACTAATAATATCCCCATCTATTTCACCATCACTCTGAACAACAGACCCAAGATATCGAAAACATGTACTCTTATTAATGACTTGATCACCCAAAGTCACAATCCCCTACTAGATCTATTATTACTAAAATTACACTCCATATATTCAATTTCAAATCTACTCAAACGAAAGCCTTTAAACTCTAAGGTAGACCTCCATAATTGACGTTTACCTTCAACTCCCTCTCTAGTCTTATCAACCAGAATAATATAATCATCAAAAAGCATAACCAAGGTACAACCTCTTGCAAGTGTCTAGTGAGAACATCCATCACTAAAGAAAAAGTATATGGGCTTAAGGTTGATCCTCGATGTAATCCAATTAAAATAGGAAAATACTTGGTCAAACCAACTTGTATCTGAACACAAATAACAGTTTCTGCATGCATATCCTTAATGACTTGAATATAAGCATTACTAACACATTTCTTTTCTAAAACTCTCCATAGCACTTCTCTAGGAACTTTATCGTATGTTTTCTCTAAATCAATAAATATAATATGTAGATCCTCCTTATTCTATCTATACTTCTCCATCAAACCTCTCAATAAATGTATAGCTTCCACAATAAACCTACCTGACATGAATCGAAATTGATTTTGAAAAACATTAGTATCATGCCGCAACCTATGCTCCATAACTCTCTCCCATAGTTTTAAAAAATGACACATTAATTTATCGTACAATCTTGTTCATCACCTTATTTTTTAAAATATGAATCAACACACATTCTCCACTCATCTAGCCTCTTTTAGTCTTCAAAAGAATATTAAAAAGTTCAGTAAGCTAAGAATTTCTCCTAAGCATTTCCACACCTTCCATAGTGGAAGTTTAGAAGCTTTAATAAAATTATCATGATCTCCAAAAGTGCTAAGGGTATCTAGGAAGTAAAAAAGATATTCATGATGGAGTTTATTAAGGGACCATTTGTAAAGTATACAATTCTATGTAATGGGAACAATAGAATTGTTGTTGAAAACTTATTTTTTGAAAGCCACTATTGGCATTTTAAATTTTTTCTATATTGAAAAAATTAGATAATAATTTTCTTACAACTATCACACTCTAGTAGGTATGATTGTAGAAAAATACTTCTCACCACCAAAAATTTTGAAAAGCATCAAGAAATTATGGCCAAAAAATATAAGGGCCCAACCACTTTCAAACGAATTCAAACTTTGACTTGCCAAAAAGGAGGCATGAATGCTAGGGCTTTGTATCAAAATATCAACCATCTTATCCATTAAGTTGACCACATGGTGGAATTTAAGGAGAATTTTTAACCATTTAGATGCAATTCTCATTTTCGGGCTCAGTTCATGGTTCCTAGCATTTAATTGTCCATATCATATGGTTAGTTACCATTTCTAAGGTAGTTTAAATTTTAAATTGCATTTTAGATCTTGCTTTAAATCTATGCAAAAGGAGAATAAATGTAATCAATTTAAGTGATGTTGGTATGCAATAAAGTTGATTACTTCATCAAAAAGCTATCACTTCCCATTAACCACCTCTTCAATCTGCCAACACTCTAGATGATGAAACCAAGGCAAGCTAGGATTCCATTCAATTTTGTAAAGTATGATAACTTGAGGCATTTGGACAATTTGGACCTACAATGAGACGTCCTAGCAACATGAGCTATGGGACCTTTGCTTGAGAAAAGAGGTAGTATACATATAAGAACTATTGCAACGCCATAAAGAAGATGGTCTAATATATTGATATTCTCTTATAGCAAATGGGTGGACGTCTCGTAATGAAAAAGTTTCTAATTTTATGATGCTCTATTCGAGAGGAATTACATTCATAGAATCAATTAATGTCAGTTCTTTCTTTAAAATAAATATTCAAATTGTTGAGCAAGTTTCTTGAGGACCAATGGGCACATGGTGTAATTCAAGTGATTATTGATAATGCTTCTAAGAACATCTTTGCAAGTGTTACAACCACTATGAACTTTCATTTCATTCTGCTTGCATGCTATTTTACATAAGATATTAATTTATTCCATCATATTTTTAATATCATTGCAAAAAAGTTATGGAGAAATGTCCACGCATATCTAAGACTCCCTATGCTACTCACTAATTGGATTTCATGAAGAAAGATATTTTTTAAAATTTAAAAACTAAGGTGATACTTTGATAAAGTGGAGACGGTACATAATTTATATATATCCAAAGCCTCAGTTTCTTGACTTAATGAGATGTACCAATCAAATATCACTAGTCAAGCCCGCAAAAACTCATTTAGCTACAGCCTTCTTAACATTACAACATTTTCATCAACAAAAATTGAATTTGAAGAAATGTTTAAATTCGAGAAATTTGTTTTGGATCCTTATGCGAAAGAAGCAAAGGTAAAATAATCCCAACAAATAATTTTATAAAACTCATTCTAGAATACTATTGTATATGCCCTAAATTTAGATGGCCCTTTGTTGAAGGTCATTAGATTAGTTGATATAGAAAAAAAAAAAACCTAATGAATTATATATATGAAAAAATGTATAAGGCAAAAGAAAGAATTGCTACAAGATTTAACAAGAATGAAAAATAAGAACAATTTTTTTAAATTATTAATATAATATAGGAAGTGCAACTCCATTGACCTTTACATGCAGCTACACCTTTTCTAAATACTAAATAATTTTTAATAACCTTGATATTGCAAAGAACAAGAAAATTGTTGATAGACTATATGCAAGCATTGAAAGAATAGCAAAGAATGTAGATGATGAAGACAAAATCAATAATTATTCAATATAATATAATTAAGGGTGAAGAGCTATTTGGTATTCCTACAACTATAAGACAAAGGGCCACTCAGTCCTTAGAAAATATTGTTGGAGTAAAATTACAATTGGCACTAAGTAATGTTTTGAAATTTCAATAAAAAAGGTACGAAATTAAATATTTCATTACTTCCAAGTGATAGGTGGCTGGCGTATGGCCAAGAAGCTCTACACTTATAAAATTTTGCGATCAAAGTCTTTAACCTAACCTGTAGATCATCAGGATGTGAATGTAAATGGAGTATATTTGAATATTTAAATAAAAAATAATAATGTGTTGATTTTTCTCATTAATTTTTATATTTAATAATTGTAATGATATTTCAATGGCAGTTCTATATAGCAAAATTAGAAGCAAAATGGGTCATGGTTAGCTCAAAAATTAATCTAATCTGAAAAATAATAGGGCTCAAAGATTTGCCGACCCCACGTAGTGGGATAAAGGCTTGATGTTGTTGTTTGATTCACAAATACAACTATGGAGATGTCATCAATTCTAATTTTTAAATGGCATAGATGATGCAAGCGAGTGGCTACCAGAAAATGAATAATGATTTAGATGAAGAAAATAAATTGATTATTGGCGAGGAAGATTTGACTTGGAGTACAATCACTAAAGGCTCTAGTGTTTATGAAAAGTTACAATATTCAAGTTTGACTAAAGGCAAAGAATAGGAAGCTTTATTTAGGCTTCACATTATTGTAATTAAAGAAGAATTTGATGAGGGTGATTAAGATGATTATAAAATAGGAAACAATGTTGATGATGGAAATGAAACATTTTTTATTTGGATGATGATGATAACTTTCAAGAAGACTAGATTAATTTATTGCAAAACCAAAATGCTTTTAAAAAAAGGTTGTAATATTTTGAATATTGAATGATTGAGGTGTTAATTACTTGAAAGTAAGCATCACTTTGATGCACTTTTTATTGCATGATAGTTTATTTTTTTTAATTTGATAGTATTTCATACAAATACATATTTTTATTTTTAATTATTTAGATATATGCAATTTAAATGGCGCGCATCGTACGCTATGCGCTATAACTCCACAGGAAACTCTACGCCTTGGTGTCATTTATCATTACCAAGTATGTATAAGACCTAACAGTTTGATAGTAAATTTTTTATAATTCAGGAGTTCTATCACCAAATTAAATCAACCACTCAAATAATTAAAAAAACACATAATGAACATGATATATAATTTTTAAAATTAACCAATAAAATATTAAAAGTTAATGTCTAGAAAATCCTTACCAGAGAAATATTCTGTTATAGTGTATTTGGCTTATTGTAATCCAAAAAATACTTCCTTCTTTTAAAAGCTTATATGGGAGATCAACCATCCCTCTCTCTATTGAAACAATCATTTTGTCCATCAAATGGTACAAATCAAATTTGATCTCTAGATTAGTGGGATTATTCTCATCATAGTGTTATTGACGAATTGGATAACAAACAAATTACATGTATCGATGCAATTGAAATTATAAGTCAGCAACATATCCTATCAAATATAAATCTCCACATGACAGGCATCTACTTATCATAGATTTACATTCTATTAAAAAAATTTATCAAGCATTATCTGGCCTGACTGTCCAATACTGACACATTATACGACCAATGGGTGCATGAATAAATAAGTGTGTTGAGGGACGAAGTATCAACATAGGTTAAAACGACGAAGCAATTTAATGAAATCAAACAGCATAGCTTTCGAAAAAAATCTTGTCCTAAAAGATTGTAAAAGGTTGGAGTTTACACCACAGAATCCTCAGTAGGTTGCAGGCGCACTGGGCGTGAACCTAAAGAGAAAGCTTAATTGCTAAAAAAACAACTAAATAAGAAGCTAATTTACAAAAAATTACTATAGGTGGATTCAGAATGCCCCATCAAGATCATCACAACCAAAAAAAATACTTTTTCTCAGCAAGAAGAAGCACCCACAACGACAAAGGAAGGTCATTTCCAATTTGTTCAAGATAAGTCCATGAGTTATAAATTAAAAACTCACCATCCATGGGGTTGCCAAAATTGACATAAGCGTAGCCGAGGGATCGGCGGGTGTTCATGTCCCTACAAACGCGCACAAACAACACATGCCCCACTTGACTGAACAGATCGAATAGTTGTGAGTCAGTTACGTTCGTCTCCAAGTCCCCCACGTACAGCGACGTCGACGGAAACTGCCCTACGCCACCGCCATTGGCTGCCACCGCGCTTGCACCGGAAACCGGCGCCTGAGGCTGCACTTGGACTTGCGCCATCCGATCTATCGCGGACCAACCTGAAATTGACTCTCTTTTTTTTTCTTTTTTGTTTTCCTCTTCTTCTGCTACAAGAAAACCCTAGAAGATGACGATAACAAACTCCCCCCTGCTAACCTAGGAAACTGTTGAATATTTTTTGAGATTTTCTGTGGATATTTTTCCTTTTGGGGGAAGAAGATAGATCTAGATGGAGAAGGCCAACGCGAGAAAGCTTTGGAGGGCAGCCCGAAGCCCCGAACTGCACCGCGCCGGTCTAAGGTGGGGGCGGCCGTCGATATATACTGGCGAGGGAGACCTGATGAGCGTAACCCCTACCCTGGGAGAAAAAGAGCCGTCCGATCAAGGAACATTTGAAGCTTAGACGCCACGTGTCAGCAGATTATTGTAACTGTCGGAGCTTGCATTTGATGAAATTTGAACTGATCTTCAAAATTATTTATTCGCTGGTAATTTTAAGAAAGATTTTAAATTTGTCGGAAAATATTTGTATGAATTTTGTCCGTTTTAAATGGTTAAATTACTCTTATATAATTATTAATATTCTTAGATTTACTAAACTAGTAAACTTAATATTTTGTAAAATTTTATCTGTATCTATATAATTGTTTGTGTTGAATTCAAAATTATTTATTAATTATATATAAGTGGTGAAAATTATAGGAAAATAAAGAAAAAAAGATGAAAAATTATATAGTAAGAAGCTTTGAGATTTATGAAAATTGTATTTGATATAGAAAATTACTAAATTGAGCTTATCATTAACTCTCTATTTTATAGATTGGGGTTAAGGCTTAAGAATTAGTGCATATGACTATAAAACAAATAAGATAAAATTATAAATATTCAGCATAATAAAAAATTCCAATTTTGATATTATTGTCTACCAAGCTCTTAAGAAGTCATCGGCTTATGGTGCATTAATAATCAAGTAGCTGAGTTGTCGATCAATATATTGCATTAAGAAGTTGTGCCTCCATTAGTAAATAGGGTCAATTTCATACTTACTATATAGCAGTTGTTATGATTGATTGTTAAATTATATGCATCAAGCACGATGAGTTATTAGATCCTTATTATTGCGGACTAGAATATACGCAGTGATAGAGTTAAAAAGCTTTTGTCTTAGCGTTGTACGAATATTCAGTACACAAACAGAAGATGAAAGAACACTATGATTTTTACGTGGAAAACCCTGTAAAGGGAAAAAACCACGGGGTCATGCCTAGTTGAAAGAATTCAACTACTGTTTGTTTGAGATACAAGAGGCTGACTCATCCTTAAAATTTAGGACGATTAAATTATAATGATTCACTTCCAGCTTGAAAATCCAGTTACAAATAAGCTGTGTATTCAAGATGAATTCAGAATCACATGAAGATTAGACAGAATTTCGGCATCACTTGGATATCAGGCAGAGTTCCGGCGTCACTGAAAAGTTGGGTGGAATTCCTGCGTCACTTGAGCAAAATTCTGGTGTCACTTGGAGATCAGGCAGAGTTCCGGCGTCTCGTGGAAGTCGGGTAGAATTTTGATGGTGGTTGAGGAGGTGTTTCTTCCCTCCCTTTCTCTTCTTCTTCTTCTCTTCTTCTTCTTTCTTTGGTCCCCTCTCAAGAGAAATGAGGGGATATTTATAGTTTTTTGAGGATGGCATGACCCATAAATAGGAGGAGGATCATGGGCAAATGTGGAGTGGTTCGGATGGATGGTCGATATTGAATCCCTTGAATATAGATCTTTTATCATATATTTGAAAATCATAACGATATCAAAATTTGACGATCTTAAGCTCGTTGGATTTATCTCGTCAAGCCGCTAGATTCATCTATAAGCATGTCATGTTTGAAAATTGTTTGGTAATCTAAATTGTTGTGTGAACCTTCTACATCGCTTCGGGTTTTCAATTTGGACCCATTTGGGCCGGATTGAGTCGAATTTGGTGTCGTTGGGTTCATATTTCTAAGATAATTAGTTGACTATAAGTTTGCTGAAATCGAAGTTCAGATGATCCCAAATTTAATTTTTGAAGTTTCCAACTTTATTTTTCCTCAAAATTAGCGCCCGATCAAGATACTTTTTTGATGATATATCAGTTGCCCCCATTATTTTTGGACGTCGAAGCTCTAAAAGTTCGAAAATACTTGTCTCGACGTTTTACATTGGTCGAATCATAGAAATTTGCATTCCAAAAAATATAACTTTGTTTAATTAGGTCTTAGAAGCTCCGTTGAGCTCCGAAAGTGCCAAAATTGAGTGGATGATGTCATAAGACATATGCGAGGAACCCAAAAATGTCTGATTTGGACTATCTGGGCCCAAAATCGGAGCCCGGACACGTGTAGGCGCCCGAACTGGCCAACCGGCCGTCGTCTGCCGGTGTTGAAACGGCACGCCGTTTGTCGTGCCCGGTCAAGGAAACCGGATTAATAACTAGATGCAGTTAAAAAAAATCTTTTTTTAATTGTGGGCCCACTTTTTTTTTGAGGGGGTGGGCTGTAAACGCCGCCCCCTTATAATTTTTTTTTCTGTAGACGCCGCCCCCTTATAATTTTTTTTTTTTTGAATTTTTGGGTATTTTTTTAAATTCTCAAAATAGTAGTTTTGGTTCAAAGAATTTTGAAAAAAATTTAAAATAATCAAAATAATTCAAAAAGCTTCTAGAAACATAATTCTCTCTCATTTTCAAATAATTCCTCCTCTTTTTTAAATAATTCCCCTAAGTTTCATCATATAAATAGCCCCCATTGGGTAAAGAAAAATTTGTACCTTCGCCTCTTCTCCTTCTGACTTTCTTATAGCCGAGGCATTCTGCTATTTTATGTAGATAACTTTCCCTACTTAATTCAGCTACCCTCCTTTTATAAAGAAGTTTGAAATTCCACTTTTTTTTCTTCTTTCTCCCCGATTTTTCTTCCTTCCCTATAGGCTTTCCGCTATCTTTCGTAGGTGACTTTCCCTGCTTAAATTTAACACTCCTCTTTAGTATAAAAGTTGATATGGGTGATCACACATCCATAAGAAATCCCCTAGCCAATAAGATCACCATGTACATCGATCTGAGGGTTTAAAAAAGACTTATAAGGTAGCTAAGATTTATGATGTTATCTCCACCATCACTAACGACTCTTTCATTGCTTTTAGGAAAAAATTTCATTTTCATAATGATCTTATGATGAAGGTACCAACAAGTTTCGATCACGCTCATTCTCCACCTCCAAGATATGTGATAATATATAAATTTAGTTTGCGAGCGGGACTACGATTTCCACCATCTCCTATGTTGATTGATATTTTGACGATCTGTGGAGTGAGTTTGTCACAACTTTCTTACAGAGCCATATCAATCATAATGGGACTGATCGTATTTTTTCGAGATTGTGGAATGGCGCTATCTTCATAATGTATTTCTCTGATTTGTCCCTTATTATTGATACGCAGGGTCGTATCTCTTTTAGATTCAAGTGGTTGGATATTCGTACTCGAGATCTGTCAAAAGGTTGGATTAGTGATTTCTTTTTTATGCAAAATGAAAGTTCATTAGGGATTTTAAGCCCTTAAGAACATAACCCTCCGATTGTTATGACGAGTAATCCTTTGGTGGTATGTAGCGGTCCTGAGTGAGGCTTCATCTCTTACTTCTAAGAGGAGATCCAAATTTTTTTTGAGTTTTTTTTTTTTTCATTGTTACTGAAGTCAAAAGTCTGAACTCTATTGCTTGGGACTTTAATATCAACCGGTATGATTGCTTCTATATCAAAATAGAGATTATATGGAGTTTCTCCTATAGGAGGTCTAGTAGTGGTCCGAGAAGCCAAGAGGATATTTAAAAGTTCTTCAGCCCATTGCCCCCCAACCTTCCCTAAGCGTGTATTCAGTCCTTTAAGAATTGTTCAGTTTATAATCTCTATTTGCCCATTTGCTTGAAGATGGGCGATAGATGTTTTTGATGATTACAAATATTATTGTTTTGATTATTATTTTTTCCTAACATATTTTGGAAGAATTGTGTTTGCTCTTATATGTACTAACATTTCTGGAAAATCATACTTCAGATTGTTGAAGACTTCAAATCAAGATCGGCTTAGAATGTTTTGTAAATTGAAGTATGTATTTTTCATTTTATTTAGTCTCAGAGAATGTGATTATAATTGAGAAACTTAGCGCACACACACACATCGGGATAGAGCTTTAAAATTCATAATTTTTAAAACTGATCGAATAGTATGAACCATGTTCATATGGGATGATCTAGTTAGTTATACTCCCGAACGAGTAATGGAACGGATAAAGAGGGCAAATTTTTTTTTTTTTTAAGTATAGTTCATCCATACGATATTTATCATTCATCCCAGGATGATGCTCTCTGGATGCGTTCATTTGAACGATATTTATCGTTCATCGCAAGACGATGCTCTCTAGATGCATTCATCTAGACGATATTTATCGTTCATCCTAGGATGATGTTCTCTGAATGCGTTCATTTAAATGATATTTATCATTCATCCCAGGATGATGTTCTCTGGATGTGTTCGTTCGAATGATATTTATCATTCATCCCAAGATGATGCTCTCTGGATGTGTTCGTCCATATGATATTTATCATTCGTCACAGAACAATGGGCTCTAGATTTGCCAAAATGAAGTATTTATCCAGACGTTATTTATGGTTCATCCCAGAATGATCTTCTGTGTTCTAGAAACTTCAAATTCATCCTACTTTTCTATACCAACGAAGTTTGAGAATAACTATTCATATCGGACGAGCCAGGTTTGTATGGGATGATGATCGGGTATGAAGGCAGTTTGTACTAGTTCACATTAAGTTTGTACACAATAATTTTTACACTATTCATACGTATGAAATTGGATCATACGGGACAATCGTGGACGGTCTTAATTAAAAAAATGCAGTTTTTGGATAGTTTTTCGTGTCTTTTCTATAAAAGGTCTAAGTTAGACTGTCTTAAAATCTTTTTGTCATTTGGTCTTCATGCATACTT